GAATTTTGAGAAAAATTCAATTCATACTCAGATGTTAATCCTAGAAGACAGCATTGCATGGGTTTATTCCTAGAGATTTTCAGCATGCATTCAGAAGCCGATGCAATAAGTTTCACTGCTGGCTCTACTTAAAAGTTTGCATTGTTGTACTGATGATTGTTAAGTCTAACTTCCATTTGCAATACAAGGTGCATAAATATTTTAACTGCGGTCCTTACTTACTTGTAGTTTCTTCATCTTCTAAGTCTTGTAGTATAAGCTTTTCAGCATCTTGATTTCTGCTTTTTATAAAGTTTAAATAGGACAGAACTGATCCCGGCAAGTTATCTGAAATCTAGAAAAACATGACGCTTGACATAAATTCTACATTTTCATGTCACAGCCAAGACCAGAGGTAAATATTTGACATGCAAGAATAAAGACTCATTTTGGTGTCACCTATAAAGCACTGATGGAGATTTAGTAGCAATTAGTACCAAAATTGTTCCCAGTTCCTACACTCTTCCCATTGTCTTATCACCCACTGACCAGTTAATAATTCTCATTTTTAATTACATTCTAGTTAATTTTTTATTGGACCACATTTTAGTAACTTATCTTTCACTATCTTCAGAAACATGTTTTAATTAACATTTTCTTTATAATTGTGTTGGACCAAGAAATTAAGAAAAAGGTTAAGAAAAAATTAATGAAAACCTGTGATTCACAGGATCTTTTTCTTAAAAATGTTCACTCTTTAAAAAATAAATTAATTTTAAATTTCCTAATGTTTAAAGTATGCATGTAAATCAGATGCTTCTCTACTACATAGACACTTTCTATTCAGAAGACAACTGTCTTTTACTGCAAGCATTTGGGAAAATGTGTAAATGGCAGTAAACATTGTTGGCATTCAGCATGTGAGTGTGCAAATAATTATCACTGATGCCTTTACCTATCTTTACGTCATATCAAACGCATGATTTATGGTCACATATGACCAATATCATCTACCCTGATATCCTATAGAGCAATCCATTTGCTATGAGTCTGAAAGACTAAAACTGAAAAGGACACAAAAAATTAATTGCATTTCAGAGGAAAATCTTTCCCCCAAATAAAAAGGCACCCAAAAAAGAGGGCCTGAAGCACCAATTTATATTAAATTAATATCAGAAGTCTTCAAACATAAGACAGTTTCTTGTAAGATTTAAATACAGATTTAAATGAAAAATCATTGGCATATTTATCCAGATTTACTCTACCTCGTTAGCTTTAATAAAATCTTCCAGCTTCAGAGGATTCTAAAATAAATCATCATCTATGAGTCTTATTTTCTCACTTAAGCAGAATGCTAATATTCATCTCTTTTATTGTCTTTTCACCAGTGGAGGTTACATTTTTCATGAAGCAATAGTGCTGAGTGTTTTCCAGAAGAAATCCTCAGGCTAGGTATGTCAGGAAAAGCTCATTCATCAGATAGGCTTTCCAATGCCTGTACTACTTTCAAGCAGAAATAGAAGCGGTGTTAACCCATTGAATACTTACTGTCTCACTGTCAGTCAAAGCTTCATCTGATACCTCTGTGTCAGGATCATCTGCTTCAAAGGAAGAAACACTGATTCTGCTTAATTCAATTTCTATTTCTTTTTCAATTCCTTCAGTATCTTCTGACATTCTGCTTTCCACAGTGTCTCATCCGCTTTCAAAGCTACATAAAGAAAATACTAACTTTCAGCACTCCATGAACAAAAATAAAGAGGGTGCTCATTTACCATCCGTTTATTCAGATGTATTTATCGACCTGTTGGCTTAAAACATGAAAAAGAAGAGCAGAAGTTTGTTCTGAACACCTTACTCCACACCAACTAGCAAAAAATAAGAAAAAAGTTAGTCTGTGATAAGAGAATTCCCTCTCAGCACACCCCTCTAAATTTTGCAAGTGTTACCAAATTTGGATATTAAAAAACGTCTGCCTGCGCTCTACTCCTTGTGGACAGTATCAGTGCTATGACCTAAGTCTCACAAGGTTTTTTTTTCCCCAGCCCTAATAGCTGCAAAGGGAAAAAAAAGCTTCAAACAATAAATATTTGTTAACAATTAGAAAATAAGACTAAGAATCCAGACAGCACTCGATGAAGTTGTAGCGATACAGAGAAAGCAGTGAGAAATGGCCTCACCCACAGAAGTACACGACTGGTAGATGGGTCCCGGCTGGAGGGGAAAGCGCCCCTCCACCGTCCGTCCCCCCCTCCCCAACCCGCGCCCCTCTCCTCACCCCTAACCCCAATCCCCAATTCCGACACTGGAAGCAGCCCAGACCCGCTCTACCAGAAGCA